ATCAGCTCTCAGGAGGCAGAGGCAAGAGGATGGGGACTGCAGGCCAGCCTGGGCTATGTAGTGAGACCCCCTCCACCCCAAACGAAAATCTGGGGGTATGGTGACTCATGCCTTTAATCCCAGCACTGAGGCAGAGGCAGAGGCAGAGGCAGAGGCAGAGGCAGAGGCAGAGGATCTGTGTGAGTTCAAGGCCAGCCTGGTCTCCTTGTGAGTTCTATCCAGGACTACACAGTGAGACTTGCCTCAACACGTCCCCCAAAACAGCAATGAAGGAGCTGGAGAGACCGGAGTGCTTAGTGGTTAAGAGCACTCACTGCTCGGGTGCAGGATCCAGGTTTGGCTCCTAGCACCCACACTCAGCATCTCACAGCTACCCGTAACTCCAGTGTTAGGGGATGTGACGCCTCTGGCCTCACATGGTATGCATAAACTCTCGGAGGCACACAAGGACACATACATAAAAATGAACCGAAAAACCAAGCCAGATGTATGGCATTCATCAGCAAGTCTATAATCCCATGACTTGGAGGCTGGAGGATCAAGAGTTCCAGCTCATCTTTGGTCATATAGTGAGTCAGAGGTTAGCCTGTGCTACAGGAGACTCTGTCTCCAAACAAACAAACAAACAAACAAAAAACAAATTCAGCAAAAATCAAAACAAAAAAGCTGGGCAGTGGTGAGGCACACCTTTCATCCCAGTACTTGAGAGACAGAGACAAGTGGATCTCAGAGTTTGAGACCCGAGTTCCAGGACAGTCGGGGTTACACAGAGAACAAAGCTTGTGTTTACTGCAGATGGTGAGATGGTTCAGTGGGCAAGGACATTTGCTGACAACTGAAGCCCTGAGTTTCAACCCTAGAATCCACTCACTCCTACAGGCTGCACGCACACACAGGCACACACACACACACTCACACTGTACATATTAATTCATCTATTATTATATAATTAATTGTGTGCCTCATATATAGTATATAATATATAATTGTATAACTATGCTATACATATTCACCTATAATTATATAATTATATTCAGATATAATTATAAGTATATATTACCCATGGATTATTGTTGTGGGAAGCCGGGTGCTGGAGGCGCACGCTTTTAATCCCAGCACTCTGGAGGCAGAGGCAGGTGGATCTCTATGAGTTCAAGGCCAGCCTGGTCTGCAGAATGAGATCCAGGACAGCTAGAGTAGTTGCACAGAGAAACCATATTTCAAAGGAAAAAAAAAAAACCCTGAAGTATTGTTGTGGGCTATTTTTACACTGTGTGAAGACGCATTGCTGCGATTGGTGTAGTAAAAAGCTGAACAACCAATAGCGAGGCAGGAGGTATAGGTGGGATTTCTGGGGAAAGAAAGGAAGGGGAGGAGGAATCTAGGCTTGCTGGAGATGACACAGAGAGGAAGTAGGAGGTGAAAGAGAGGTAAGGCCACGTGATAGAACGTAGATTAATATAAATGGGCCAATTGAAGTTATAAAAGCTACTTAGGAACAAGCCTAAGCTATAGGCCAAGCTTTCATTATTGTCATTATTTGGAAGCTGGCTGGAGGGACAGAAAAAGATTTCCTACATATGGCACCCCATATCTACACAGGGTCTGAGAGCTGAAAAATGAATTCCTAGTAGGCTTGGTTCTTGTGGTGTGCAGAGGTGTGGCTCTCTACACACACACACACACACACACACACACACACACACACAGTGATTATTTTATGTGTATGGGTATTTTGCCTATATGTATGTCAGAAGAGAGTGTAGGGTCCCCTAAAACTGGAGTTACAGAGGGCTTTGAGCTGCCATGTGGGTGCCAGGAATTGAACCCAGATCCTCTGGAAGAGCACTCAGTGCTCTTAACCACTGAGCCACCTCTCCAGCCCTGGTGTGGCTCCTTTTAAGTGTCCCCGCTACCAAGCACTTGAATGGGGTTTGTGGGTG